GGACGTCATTGCGTCGGTACTGCCCGAGTCTGCCACCCTTAATGAGGGTCTCAATGGCATCCTTGAGGTGGATGTTGTCTTCTGGAAGGTGCCCATGACTCTGATGGTACTGACAGTATTTTGTCTTGTCAATTCTGGGCTTCGCATGAGCAGGTCGAGGACGTTTGACATCACCGTCAAGAAGTCGCTAATGGAGCATTCCGCCAAGATGTGCTCGTAGGAAGCAGTCAACAGAGTGTACTCTGAAACACCTTGTCGATCCCATGTGCTCGCGGGGATCTCGTGATTTCTCATCCCTTCTCTTCTCGCCAGTCCTTTGAGAAGGGTTCACGTCCTGGTGTTATTGGATGTTGGTCGGTCCGCGATTCCTTAAGTCACGGGCTTTATTGGCTGCCTCCTTCTCCTCGTAGTCCATGTAGGCTCTGGCTTTCTCGAGGAGGGCGTCGAAAGATCGGAGGGGCTCAATACCAACAGCCTTTATGAATACAGTGCCCGGGAGGAGTCCAATCTCGAGCAAGTTCCTCTTCATGTGATCGGTGCACGAGACCTGAATGGCTTCGCGGTTGAATTGATCAATATATTCTCTGAGGGTCTCGTCGCTTCTTTAGATGATTGCCTCAAGGGAGGCCTCAATCTTTGGGTGTCAATGAGACGTTGTAAAGGAGCTGATGAACTGATTCTTGAGATTTCTCCAGGAGGTGATCGACCCTGGGGCGAGATTCTTGTACCAGTCCATTGCACTTTTCCTCAAGATCGTGGGAAACAACTGACATTTGATCGGTCTCCCGATATTATGATAGTGGAGCATTGCCTCGAACCCGTCGATGTGGTCGACAAGGTTTATAATGCCTTCATATTCTTTCAGTTTGGGAGGTTTCTCCATTCCCCTGGGAATGAGCGCCTCCATGATTGCTTGTGATAAGGAATCACGAAGATCGTCTTCGTCACTCCTGTAGAGAGAGTGAGAGGGGGACCGAATGTTATGGCGGTCGTAGTGATGGCCTTGGCTTCAGGGAGGATCCCTTGGTCGAGGTTGTGTTTCTCTGTTTCCCCTGCTTCTGTTTTCAGGGGATCGTCGTTCCCTGTGCAGGGGGTGAGATTGCGTCTCCCGATAGCTTCTGGCAGTGTTCTCTCCAGTGCGGGGCGTCGCCCAGTCTGTCGGGGAGAGAGGCTTCTCGACCAGTCCTGTATGTGTCTCTGTAGAGGAGATCGAGGGCGGTCTTTGTTCTGACAGGAAAGAGGAGTGTCAGGTCTCCTGTGTCTCCTCGGGGATCAACGAGTCTATTCGAGCGCTCTCAATCGCTCGTCCTGCGAGAAGATCAAGTAGTTTATTTGATTGATGGCCGCGAACAATGTACTGGTCATGGCATCAGCACCAATAGGGACGGGGAGCTCCTGAAAAGTGTTTGGTTCAGAGTTCTGGAGGACGTGGGCATTGGTCGAGAGTGGGATGAAAAGGCGATTAGCCCATCTCTATAGTTCTGCTCGAGATCGGCCATGTTGATGTTGTTCCCGACGTTGTTGTGACCAATATTGTCGCCAACATTATTGTTGATGTTGGCGAGGTGGACGTTTTGATTGTTGTTGGCAGCTTGATCGACCATGACAATCAGAGTTTAATGAAAGGTTGCTCTAGTCTTGCGACAAAGACAGGGAAGCTAATTTCCCACAGATGGTGCTACTGGTCGTACCTGACCAGAAGGGACTAAGGCCCTCGAGCTTTTTGTCAAGCAATCGTTTGATGTAAAGTAGAGGATACCTGCAAGACACTCGGATGTTAAAATAAAATTAAAGAGAGTACTAACAAGTATGAGAGTATGTGAGATAAAGAATTAATACCTGACCCTCTCAAATGAGAGAGTATTTATAACCCCCGACGTTGGGCCAAGGTCTTCAATGATACGCCATGATGAGGCCCAACAAGGAAGACTACAAGGACTTACGTGTCTATGGAATCGAACATGTGGCCCCCTTCTTGATCAACTGTCCCGAGAAAGTAAGTATTGAATCCAATATTCACGAAAGACAGTATGATAACAATTTGGACACATAGACAACATCTTCTTAGCGGATACGTGGAAAAATACTCAGCGGTCATTATGTTAGACTGCAGTTTTGAGCCTTTAATAGAGGCACTGGACTGGACCTCCCCAACAGTGGAACAAGAGCTGATCCAGTCCAAAACATGTATGTTTCTTACATTAAACAAGGATGTAACATAATTTTGTCTAAGTTAATAAGTGTAGGGTGCACCCTAGAAACACATTTCTGACATTTTTGGTTTTACCCAAGATTATTTTCTCCTTAATAACTCGAGAGATTTTGAGACAAGTATTTTAAATTCAAGTCTACATTCCTTTGATGAGAGTGAAGAGTCCCTTTGTCCCTTCAAAATAAAGTCCTTAAATTGAACAGAACTCATGTGATTTCCTTAATTTAATTCGTACTTTGGACACGGAGATATTGCAACATTTTCCACAGTTACATTGTATTCAAAGGTTCAAGAAGTTATTGTGCACATATTATGCATATTATAAGCCATGATTGGACCAACTTATATTAAACCGAGCAAGTGATTTGAATTAAACCAAATTATAAATCATATATCAACACATAACATGTAAAAATTAAAACTAGTAAACCAGTATTAAAAATAAAAGATTAATCCAATGATTAATCCAATGTATGGTTACACCTGATCCGAACTAACCCTACAAATTGGAGTCGACGAGAAATAGTATATGGTCACAGGGCCTTTTTATTCTTCCAAACATGCTTAATGAATGAAAAAATTAAAGAAAACAAATGTCACTCAAATTAAAATACTTGAGGCCTGCACATTCGAACATGAATTATATTATTTGGTCAACACCGAATATAAATTATAGTAGTATTATTTGGTCACATATGATTGATTCCAGGCCAAAAAACCACACCCAAAGAAGTCTGTTGGCCGCAAATCACAGTCCATCTCCGACCATTTAACTGCTCCGTTGTTTGGGTCTTAAGTTCTATCATAACAGTTTGAACAATTGGGTCGAAACGGGTCAAAGTTTAAACTCATTCAACTCAGATTTTGGAGAGTCCATTGTTTCCCAACCACTCAATTTCTCAGAAGCAGGGATTTTAATTATTGTCTGACAGACTAGGTAGACATCCTAACGGCAAAAAATCTACCCAGCAATATCTTTACGAACATTTAAATTGAGAGTTCAATTTCTTTTCTTTCTATTTCCTTTAAGCCACCAACAATAGACATTGCAGGACCATGATTTGATGCAGTCAACAAATTGACGCAGTTACAGTAGTAGATTGGAAGTCGTTGGATTTAGATCCAACAATCTAAATTTAACCTCAGAATTTTTTAATTATACCGCAAGCATTAAATATGCATTATTTTGAACCATTAGATCAAGATCGGACAGTCAACAATGTCCTGACTGCTCCGTGACTGCAGGGTATCCTATTGCATGCACACAGCAAACCTAGTAAACTGCAGTGCACCTTCAGAAAACTTCATGCAGTGAAGAACAATATGAACACTTGCTTTAGTGCAAAGTAAGCATAGGTGCAATTTACATTAATTTGGATTTATTGGTTAAAAAAATAACGAAAACAATCAAACTCAAGGAATGATAACTTAATACCAGAAGCAGCATCCCTCAGTCAGTATATTTCACAATACTAAAAAAACGGACAGCTCACTTTGAACAGCAGTCTTGCAGAATAACATGTGATTTTACCAACACTGATCTAATCAATTGAGTAGGGCTATACTCACAGAATTATAGTAACAGATCAAGAATAACCTCCATTGACTTCATTAAAATTTAATGCCCCACCAGCTTAACTGTCCAAATAAATCACATCTGCAAACCCAGGACTAACAACTTGGAACACAGAAATCTAAGAATCAAAAGTAATATCCCATAATTTAATGTAGCGGAGATGAGGATGTTGTGTTAGATGTGTGGTAAGACTAGACAGAATAGGATTAGAAATGAAAATATTAAAGAGTGTTGGAGTAACACATAATAGAGAAGATGGTGGAAAATAGACTCTGATGATTTGGACATGTAGAGAAAAGACGTGTAGATTATGTGGTAAGAAGAGTAAATCAGATGGAGAGAAGTCAAACAACTAGTGAAAGACCTAGAAAAACTATAAGAAAAGTTATTAAGAAAGATCTCAAGATTAACGATTTTGATAGAAACACGGTCCTAGATAGAGCAATATGAAAAAAGTTGATCCATGTAGCCGACTCCACTAAATGGGATAAGAATTGGTCGTTGCTGTTATCAATAATGGCTAGAAAACTTCATTGGAAAGGAAAAGAATAACCCGGTATTTACAAACTACCACCATGAAAAGATCAAACCGATTATGCAACTATCAAATGCAGTATTAGCTAGGCGGCAGATATGCAAAAATTTAAAATTAAATACAAAAAAGTATTAGTAAGCCATTACTAGTATCATTCCCCACAACTCCACAATTAATAGTCATCTGAAAACTTAGCAAAATATAACCAATAATAAGTATCAATAAAAAAACAATATTAAATATTGAAAAGGCTCACAAGAAACATGAATGGAAAACATGCGTCTTATCTTGTCAGATATTCGCAAACGCGGTAAAAACACCTTCAAGAAGCGAACTTGTACCAAAGACAATTCAGTGAAATTTATATTAAATAAATTAGACATTTTTCTAGAACCAGCCATAGTCTGAATCTCTAGCGAGCGTGATAGCAAACGAATTTCAAAAGGTTCAACTTGATTCTAACGAAAGTAACCGTAATTCTCGACAGCAAGGTTGGTCAATCGCCTCTCACAAACACAACGTCCTCAATACAAGTGATTCCTACATAGAATTGTCGTTTCACGATTAAGCCCAATTAACCATTCATATTTAAGTTTTAATTCAGCACCTAATGAGCATTAATAACAGAGCGTGAGCGGATCGAAATGACACCATTAATCACCTGTAGAATGCATAATTCAACGCTTGCCACGATGCCCTCCACCTGACCTCGCACCGGGGTTGCGAGCGAATTGGAAACGTAAACTGACTGAGTTGCGATCAAGCTCGTCAAATTTGTAACCTGCAAAATTAAGGTTCATTGTTTTACGATGAAAAAGTAACCACGTTCTGGACGGCGAAAGAGGGTGGCAGCAGGCAGATGTTATAATACGTGTATTATACCTTACCTCAGCTTAAAACATAATAAACCTGAAATACATCTGCAAACGTTCAAACCCATTATCCAACATGGGGGGAAATGTGATACCTTCACTTTATACAAAAGGGATTAAACTTGCTACTTAAGAGAAGGAAGAGGAAGAAGGGTGAGTAACCTTCTGTTAGTCTCCATTCCCCATTGTTGGACTGTCTCAGCCTTTGGGCATTTGGCAAAAAGAAGAACACTTGAAGAATATATTCTACTACAGTTTAAGGATCTATGCAACAGTAAAACATAACTTGACATGAAAGTGGTTACGCTGCTAATAGTTGGAAATATGATAGTCCGTAACGAAGAGAGCTTATGTATTTCGTGCAGTAAACGAGCGCAGATGAATAACTCACACTAGGAAGAGAGCACCCTTCATAATATAGAAATGTCAAAATGGATGGCATTCATAGTCTTCTCACAATTTCAATCAAAAATGATAAAATATCGGTGTTACTGGTAGCTTTATCAATGGGCACAACAATGTTGGGATAGACGAGAAAATCTATTTGCGCGGTTAAACACAGGGCAATTTTTTAGTTTATTGCGAATACAGCCAAGTACTACTCCCACAGATATCCAGATGCTTGCGTAATATCCTTGCAATAATTTCTTTATATCATTTCCACTGAGCACTTTCCAGTTACACGGTCAGTTTTATCAATATCAGTTATCTAAGAGCAGTTCCACACTAATAATGCACTGGCATGGGAGGAAGATTGATCATAAATCACTGAAATACACATTGTTGCCGCCTAGTCTATGTACAGGACATAGTATAAATAATATTCTACAGTAATTTCTCTATAATCAGCTCATGAAAAGAAATTGAACATACTGCCTGGGCAAAGTAAATGGACGAGGTTGTCATTACAAGGATAAGAGAAAAGGAGATATTACCATGCAATGCATCCATGGCAGTTGCTGCATGAGCCGGACTTACAAAATCAACAAAACAAAGCAACAGTGGATCACCCCCAGGCTGCACGTAATCCCAGTCAAAAATCCACCAACGCAAATAATATAAAGTTTAACTTTTTAATTAAACTTACCTGTCTTGATTCCTTGCTGACAAGTCTAACTTCTTTATAGCCAACAAAAGGACGAAAAATATCTGTAGCACTGTGTTAAGGTCTTAACAATGAGGAATCGACAACGTAAAACAATAGACTAAGGAGAACCAGATGAAAGGATACGAGCTACTTCCCGTCTTGTACAGTTGGAAGGTAAACCCTCCACAAATACTGTATTCGTAGCATCAGGTGGAAGCGAATGGCCGGACCTTCCACCACTTAATTCCAGGCTTTTGTCATTTACGTTTGATCTTCGGTCTACTCCAATATTAGTGACATGAGACTCGTCAATAGAATGACTGGGAACTCCCCCATCAATGGTTCTAGTAGGCTGTCCGGGACCATAAGTTGAAATCTGCTACAACATATACAATAAGTTATCCTAAAACATATAGGCTTGTTTACAAGTCATGCCATATTTGTCTTGTGACGAACCTAGATTAACAGTGTCCAATCCAGTAACCTAAGTTATCCCATCACATTCTCAGAGCGAATGGAATGAGTTTCAGAACAAGGTAGAATTTAAAATCTCGTGTTCACAGCGTAATAATAGTGAAGAGTAATTCCTCAAATTTTCTAAAACCTTCTTTAAGAAAAAGGGGCATTTTAATTTTTTTTGTGCTCTCATATCTCCCCCGTGAGAACTTTTGAGCTAAAACATAATTTAATAGAAATGATTTGAGTAGTCTAAGGATTAAAAATACATTTGATCAATTATGAATCTTATCTCTATTCCGATACATAGCAAAAGCAAGATAGAGTAAATAGATCCTAGTGGCCTAAATAATTTAAACATGCCAGATAGGGCCATAAAAAACAAGAAAAGATAACTAGTCATTTAAGAACTTGAAAAAAATAATTAATACCGCATTACGGAGGTAACGCTCATAGGATGCATCAAGTGATTCAGTATCTCTAACTACTTGGAGCCTTCCTCTATCCGCGTCATGGGGAAAGTAACTGGTCAAGTCATGAACGCCAGAGACATCTTCAAAATTAAGCAATATCGAAATTAATGAGAAAAGAAAGACTATAGCAAGGGAGAAAGGAAGCATTTGCATGCTGAATGTAAATTAATATATTGAAATATAAGCCTAAAGATACTATGATTATCAAATTCTATTGTCATCATGCTTATAAATCAGTTATGAATATGATAACAAGCAAGTTCAGCACATTGATTGATGTTCAATTATGAGATGTGATGAATGATTCTTGGTGGCATTATGTAAGACAATATCTTCAAAGGCAGAAAATATTTATAAAAAAAATTATAGTTAGCATAAAAATATCTTTTTGTTTTGAAATCTTGGTATCCAGCCTTCCAACCTTGCGACCGACTATTCCAAAGGGACCAATCCCACCGTTCACTGGCGGGGGCCGTTTAAATCCGGGGCAAACTTCTGTATGGACTTGGTCCAACATAGGAATTTGGATTCGAACCGATACTGAGACCTTGAGAGGAGCACATTCTCAGGATGCAAGCCTTCCCCACTAGGCCAACCCCTAGGGTTTAGCATAAAAGTATCCTAAAAGCTTGTTTTTGCTAAACATTAAAATAGCTGCCAAAGATTGATTCCAACAAAAGTTAACTTGATACCAAATAATACAACTTTCAATCTCTTTGATTGCCAACATTAAATAAGTTGAGAATTAGCATGTGACTAGTGATCCCCTGATTTCCAAATCAAAATCCGGCTCAAATCCACTCTATCACATCACATGAATCAAATTTGTAATCTTTAGAACAGTTTGCTTAACGTGCATCAACAAAAATTGATTTAAAAAAACGATTTCACAATCAACCCATATAAATTAATCCAATACACGGGAACAAGGTGTCTAGGGCATAAATTTAAGTCAACGATTTAGCACGAGAAGTGGTTTAGGATTAAAACAATTATCTTTAGCCACCCCGTAATTGAAAAGGGGGAAATTATCCGAGTTGAATGTAAATTTCGAAAAGAAAACCTAGCGAACGAGAAATGATGAAAATGGGAATAGAAACCCTAAATTGGAAAAAAGAGGGAGTAAAGGGAAAACGACCGATACCGTATTCCGAACGAGGACGTTTGGCGGGGATGGCGGAGGGGGCGTGCTGGGATTCGGCATATCTCCAATAAGCGTCAGACATGACGGTGTTAGCGACGGAGAGAGAGTGCGAAGAAGTGGAGAATGTGTTTGAGAATGTATATGGCGTGTGTTTGTGTGTTTGTTGAAGTCTACAAACAAACTCAACCCAAACGTCACACGAGACAACACTTCCCGTTGGGTGTTATAAACTCTTATCTCGATTTGTCTCCGTCTACTTTTTGGCCTTAACTATATTTCTAAATTTTATGTAAATTTGATTAACTTTAGATTTTGTTACAAAATAATAATAAAACGTAATTACCGTTTAAAATAGTTTTATTTTTTTTTCTTTAAAATTGATATAGTTCGGTTTTAAGATCAGTTCTGACATTAAGTGATTTCAGACTTCTCTCTCGATCGTAATTATTGGAGATTGAATTGTGATTCTCTCTATCAAATTTAGCGTCAATCACTACTAGACCAACTAATTATTAGTAAAATAGTTTTATATTATTATTATTTAATCATATCATTTAATTTGTTTTTGAAAATAGTATGATAGATTATGTTATATGGAATTTATATAATTGCAACACATGTAGTTTGTATATTTAGAATAACAATCACTCGTATTAATAATTGTTGTTTGATACATCAATGTAAGTATTTAAAAGAGAATCAAATTTACAATTTTCGACACTAATACAATTGATAGCTAACGACTACTATATCAATAATCAAACTATCTTCTCACAGTGAAAAAAATGTTTCAATGGGTCTTTAGTGTCAAAATCTCTTGCTTCTAAACCAATTCAAATATCTATTTACCAGAAAATATAATCAATAATTTGGGGTGAGATATTAATTTTAGTGAGTTTCCTGATCTAAATTATCTAGTCTCTAACTACCTATTAATCTATTTAAGGTCTTCTTACAATATCATTCAGGATAACTCACACACATATCGTATGAACTAATTCCAACAATCATCTCAAGGCACTGCGACAACCCTAAGAATCCTCCCAGGTTGCTAAGAAGTTCTTACTAAGACCATAAGTCCACACATTATCTATCTTATGTAACTTTTACCTTACAATTCATTTTAAACATATGTTACTTTGAGGCGTACTTTACGTGGTTGTACCTGCAAGTCACTCCAACGATCAAGTAAGAGCAGGGACAGGGAGGTACAAGTAGAAATATCAGGTAGTGAATAGTGAATATGTGATACCCGACCCTCACAGGTGTGAGGGTTTATATAATGCCCATGGCGCGTGACCATTAGTTCCCGATTTCCCGCCTAGATATGTGGGTTTGAAAAATCAGGTAACTGCCAGGACTTGGTCAAACCGGGCGGATGTACCCGTAACTAGCTGTTGATTCCGAGGAAGGGACTAATTACAGACATCTCTCTGGTCGGTTCCTGGTGGTCTGCACGATGTTGGAGTCGGGCAGACAGGGAGGATGCTCGTCGATCATCCTGGGCCAGTGGCGAAGCTGGAGGGTAAACGGTTGTCGTTGTCTGATAGAAGATGGTCATGCAGGCGATTCAGGTCATGGTCGTGCTGATCGTGCCCAAGGATATCTTTTGGGCCGGGTTTAGTCAAACTGTCGGGCCAGTCTAGAACGGTAGCCCCCCCTCCCCCCCCCCCCCCCCCCAAGTTGTTGCTTCTAGGCATAGAAGTGATGCCTTTGACATTTGCTCGAATAACGGGGTGTGTCTTACGGGCGAGTCTACCGGGGTGATGAGGCGTTGGCCATTAGAACTTTTGAATTTGGAGAGGTAGCGTGTTTTAGGAAGCGTGTTGGTGAAGCGGCGTAATGATGACCTAGGGTTAGGGTGTCATGATGACGACCCTAGGGTTCCCCAGGAGCATGTTTTGTACGCGCAGGCTATCTCAGCTATAAATACGAGAGGAATAGAGCGTTTAGTATTTTTGCCTTCTCTTTCATATGCTCGTATTAGCTCGACAGTCGACCACTAGTGTTTGCTTAGTTTCTTTGCTCGTTGTCATCTAGTTTCATCTCTTCTTCTTCTACTGGTAAGTTTCCGATCTGCCATTGTTGTTCTCTTTTCGCATTTTCGCTTCTTACTTTCTAGAGATGCATGATGTTGTACCCCAAAATTTTCCCTCTCATTTTATCAGGATTTCCCCTCACAAGACTCTTTGGACTCCAGATAAGTTAGGGTTTAATCTACTCAAGACATCTCCTTACACTGATGACCTGAAATTAGGGTTTGAGTTTGCACAAGTATTTTTGGACTTTCAATGCTCAAAGTGACTTTCATACTTCATGTTGGACTTATAAGATTGCCTCTACCAAGTTTCAAGCCCTGAATCAAATTTTTGCCCAGTCAATTGGACAGTTGACCTAGAAATCAATTGTATTGGGAAAAAAGACAATTATGGCCAATTTACAGTCAAACCTCATAATTTTTTATCCACATCAATATTATAGGCTCATATGAACCATTTGATCAAGTTTGGACCACAACTCCTCAAGAAATTTGATCAGATCATCAAAAGGGCAAAATGATCATTTTTAGGGTTTTGACTGTATAAGGGCAATTTCTGATTTTTCACCTAGCCAATGGCAAATTGGGTTCAAGCATGGATTCAAGGACTCAATGGCATCATCTTGACCTATTTACAAGGTTCAAAATATCTCAAATGCATTGGATTGACAGATAATTTTTCAATCAACTGATCAAAATTTGACTGTACATTGAAAAGTCAAACTTTGACTTTTTGGTCAAAATCAAGTGCCAAGGGTAATTTTTCATCAAGATGAGTCAAAACATGAAACTTGTTCATCAAGAAACCTAATTTTGAAAATTAGGGTTTAAGATTGAAAATTTTCATAACTTAGAATTTTTCTAAGTTATGAAATTTTCTTATTTTTCCCCAACTTTGACCAACATTTTCACCATGATGCAATTGGATTCAAACAAAACTTCCAACATGAAAGTTGTAGTCCTCCACAAATTCTACAACTTTTATTCACAAAGTTTTCCCAAAAGAAGCTTAGATCTCAAGTTATGATTTTTGGAACAAGGGTCCATGAAAGTTTTAACTTAATGAAATTTTGCCCTAGTTTAGGCAGGATTTTGACCTATCTTCATGACCATTTTTCACATAGTTCCACTTGGAATCTCAAAATTAATTTCAAATATGTATTGTAGAGCATGTTACAAGATTTCCAAAATGTCCAAGAACTCTCCAAAATCATTTATGGTTATGGAGAATCGAAGATTTTAATTTGGCAAAAACTCACTTTGATCCATGGCATTTTCATGTTGACACAAGTTGCAAAATTTGTCCAAACTTGCTTTGTACTTGATTACAGGTCTCTAAACCCTTCCACACTAAAAAATTAAATGCAAATACAATGGACAATGGTCTTATTCTGATCTTTGAAGCTTGGCACAATGAATTAATCCATTTATGGCATAAAGGTTGCAATATCATTTCCATAAAGCATACTTTTTGCAATTTTGTATTTCTTGAGCCATGGACCTGATCTCTTGATACAAACAAAGTCCACAAACTTCAGAAAAAGCTCACCAACCCTATGCAGACCTTGAGCTAGCTTGTACAACCTTGGCCTTTGTCACTTCCTACCTTTTCTTCAAAAACAAGTCATTGTGCCAAAAGTCCACATATTTGAAATCTGATATAACCAAAGGTTGTAAGCATTCCAAACAAGTTTTTGACATTGCCTTGAGTCAAAAACACGAGCCATTGATCCCTCAAAGAATCTTGAACATCAAAACACATTCCTCTTGCAAAACAGGGCAAGTTCTGCACTTTGAGTTCCAAAACAAAAACTACTTGTGCGTTTTGCCCCAAACCTGTTCCAATACCTTCCATATAACCCACCTGAACTATCCCAACCATTGGCCCTTGACTGTAACTCCATTTGCAAGCTTCACCATTTCTGTTTTCAGTTTGTGTAGGTTGACTTCTACAAGCTTGTTCAAGCAAATCCAAAGCAAACTAAGCATTGGGGAAGGTCAGAGGAAGTTCAGGTAAGCTCACAAACATCTCAGGCCTCATTGAAAACCTCCACATTGTCATACACGAGTTCAACTGAAACAGGTATTTGTCAACTTTCTATCTCTCTATTTAGGAATCATTAGGCTTAGGTTTGTGAATAAAAAATGTAGTACTCATAGCCCTTAAGTTGTACATATGCTTAGTTTTCATTTAAGTTAAGTGTGCTAAGAGAATTTGATTGATGAATTTCCTGAAAAAGTTAGGTTAGAAATTAGGGCCACAGAAATTCTCTCTGGTCTTTGAGAGTTAGATTAAGTTCTTTATATGGTTAGAATCGTCTTGAAAAATGTTATGACTTTGGTGTTATGAGTTTTTGCTTTAGAGCACGTATGCAGGATGTCCACATTTGTACACAAGCGCGCGTATTTTTGAATCAGAGGTTGAAGATGAAGCTGATCTGGGCTGGGCCTTGGCTTGACTTGTTTTTGACACCCCCCTCTTTGCTGATTGCACCCCCTGGCCCATTTGTTTTATATTTTCATATTATTTTCATTTCTTTTTATTTCTGACTTTATTTTATTTTTCCAAATATAAAAAAATACTAAAAATATTTTTCCTTAAATTTTCACATTTTTTTTATTTATTTTATTTTATTTTGACACAATATTTAGTTTATTAGGTTTACTATATTTATTTTCACAAATAAAAATTTGTAAATAACATATAAAAATATTTTTTTTTTATTTTTTTATTTATATACTTAAATAATATTTTCTCATATATTATTATTTTCTAAACAATTGTATATATTTTCTATTTTTTTTATTACTTGTACATAAATAAATAATATAATTAATATATTTTCCTAAAACAAAATTAGGGTTTCTCCCCTTTCCAAAAATAATATTTTATCTTGTCATTAAATATCTTATTTTTACATACATGAAAATAAACAAAAAAAACATTTTCACATATTTATAATATTTTGCATATTTATATTTAAATTGCTTATTTAAATATTGCTTATTTATTATTTGATGCAAAGAGTTCAATTTGGATGTAA